CATTTCATATCAAAATTTAATAAAACCGTATAATGTTAATAACTTTAGGATGTATAAAACAGAAAAACAATAAAAAATATACAGGCATGGTCATGTCATAATGCATAATGTTACACTATTACAAATTCTAATGCATTTGTCAATTTAAAATTTTAAACATCAACAGCATTCCACGGAGTACAAGTATTCTGTGTAGCATTCGCTTGAGGCAAAGAATATATTATACACCTTGAGGTGACCGTCACTGGAGAATTTGATAAATTCATTTATGTCATAAAAACAGTTTTCAATCACAATCCCGAAAACATTTTTTTTTGGTAAATAAGTTAAGATTTCATATAATAGAATCGCACCTATCCTATAGATTCACAGTCTGGCAAACTTATTCTATCAGAAGAATTGTGTAACGTAGTAGATACAGAAGAACGTATTGAAAAAGTTCATTGAATTCTATCTATTTAACAGAATTATCTAAATAAGACATAGTTGTGTGAGCAAACAATTTTAGCTACAAAAAATGATATAGTACACCAAATTACTAAAAGGATACAGAATATGATACCAGCAGATGAAAACTGTTTAAATCAATAGACACAATGATGAATCAAGACGAAAGTGTTAATTTTCCAACAGAATTTTTAAATTCACTGAACCCACCTTGTATGTGCCTCCGCATGTATTGAAGCTAAAAAATGGATAACCAGTCATATTATTACGAAATCTCAATTCGCTAAAATTATGTCACTGTACAAGATTATGTATAAAACAAATAAAAAAAAACTAAAAAGAACCCCTTTGTCGTATCTCCTCAGTTTCAAGGCACTCCCCTTCTTGCCTCAGCCAGTATCGGTATCCTCGGAGTCGACATATCGAGTGACGTGCAGTTTCATGGTCACTTGGAAGAGAAGGCCAAATTGGCCTCTAAAAAGCTTGGCGTGCTCAGAAGAGCGGGACAGTATTTCATGCGGCACACCGCCTGCAACTTTACAAGGCGCAGGTTCGGCCTCACATGGAATACTGTTCCCATCTCTGTGCAGGGGCTTCCCAGTGCCAGCTCCTTCCACTTGACCGCATCCAGCTCAGAGCGGCTCGAATCGTCGACGACCGAGCCCTTTCCGATCGGCTCGATTCATTGCCACTGCGAAGAGATGTTGCATCCCTTTGCATTTTCTTTCGCATCTACCATGGGGAGTGCTCTGAGGAATTGTTCGGATTAATCCCAGCCGCCAAATTTCATGAACGCACATCGCGGCAGAACTCCCGATACCATCCACACCATCTGGATGATTAGCGGTCCACCACTGTGCGATTTAGATGTTTTCTTCCTCTCACGACTTCCTTGTGGAATCGATTACCATCAGCGATTTTTCCGGACCGATACGACTTAGGGACCTTCAAGAAAAGAGCGTACTCCTTTTTAAAAGGCCGGCAACGCATCTGCAATTCCCTCCCTGGTGTTGCAGTTGTTCATGGGCGGCGGTAGTCACTTACCATCAGGTGAGCCGCATGCTCGTTTGCCCCCTCTCCTATAAAAAAAAAAACTTCTCAATAACATTATTGAGGCAGTAATTTTAACTGGAAAAGAAAAAAGGAAATCCGTTTTCATACCAAGAGTTCCATTAATTTCAAATGATTTACAATTCTGTTTCAAACGGTTACAGTTTCCTCTAAGATTGGCTTATAGTATAATTATCAATAAGGTTTGGGAGAATCCTGTTTTTCACATAGTACACACAACTCTATGTAGCTTTTTCACGCATTGGACAGAAAAAAAATTATTCGTGTATGCACCAGAACACAAGACAGTAAATGTATTGTATAAGAATGTATTCTAATATAAGTATTCAGTACATTACTAACTGTAAAGTATTTCTGTACAATGAATATAAAATATACATGTATAAGAAAAAAAAAATAACTAATTTAATAAAATATACATACACGAATAAATATTCGACAAAAAAATAACGAGTGAATTCCGACCATCACCATCTGGGGTGGATAGTCGGAATTCATTTTTATTTGTTCTTCAGAATTTTTAGCCCAAGTAAATTATACAGTTCAACAATAAATATACTCATACACATTTATTATTAATTATTAAGTCATATTGGGTATTGCATTTAAATTAAATTAAACTTCCTCGTTTTAAATATATTATTACGTAATTTATATATACCAACACTAATTTCATAATTTTATATCGTGGATGAATTCATATCTTTTAACGTACATTTGCAATCGTTTTCGGAATTCCTTTGCTACAACCATAGAGCATCACGGGCCACTGACGGATCGGAGCTCCGTAGGAGTAATAGTGTTCTGTGGATCGGAGGCACAGTATAAATATTTTCCTACTATATTCCTACTATATATTTACTGTGTCGGAGGGGAGTAGCCATACGCAGGTGTTTGCCTCTGTCCATTGAGTTATAATATGTACTACGTACTAGAGAAGCCGTTCCAAACAAAAATTGTGTCTACTCTATGTCTTTGCGCATGCGCTCCCGCGCAAATTATAATAGTAGTCGCGGATGCGCGAAGACTTTAATTTGATATAAAATAAGATATTAATATAAAATAAATATAAGAATTTAATATAACATATCTTAATTTAATTTAAACAAACATATTTCTAAATAAAATGTAATAATTCACAAATCTTCAATTTACGCAATATTTAGTTTATACGGATTGCAGTACAGTTCAGTTGAACATACTCAATGTTCGGAATGGCTTCTCTAGTACGTAGTACATATAACTCAATGCCTCTGTCAAAATGCTAGTCCACGTGGTCCTATGCGTACAATAAAACTAGTTGCAGCCGCATTGCTCACTAGACTAAATTTAATTTTGCGACTGATTCGACGTCCTACAAAAATACGAATTGTTCCGTTCATGCTTATGGAGGGTAGAGGTAAGGAAGATTATCAACGTGTATGAAAAAGTGTCCGTCGAAATGAGTTCAATTATGGTGGCGATACAAAAGCAGCAGGGCAAATTTTAAATTAATTTTATTTTAAAATTAATAAATTTTTGTTCAAAATTAGAGAACTAAATTTCATCAAAATAAAAAAAAATCACTAGTGTAAATTTTTTGATGAAAAAACTTTGAATAAATAAAATAAACCAATGAAAAAACTTTTCGCTTTATAGAGCCCTACCAGGCCGAAAATTGTTTGTGAAAGACAAGTCTTATTAAAAAAAAAAAAAACGTTACCCCCAACATGGATTTTTTCCTGTATCGTGGAGGCAGTTTAGAAACATAAATTACATAAGGACAAACATCCAGACCCGGAGCAATTATGTGCAGGCTATACAAATACTTGTTCCGTGCGGGATTCGAACCCGCGGCCTCCAGTGCAGCAAGTCATTGCTAAGCCACTACGCCACAGAGCCGCCAAGAAATAAAATTTCTTTTTTTCGATTTCTTTTTGATCACCCTTTTCTTATACACATTCACGTTGTAGTGATTGATGTATTAACTTATCTATTGATGTATTAATTGATTTATTGATGTATTAATGCTAGGAGACTAGGTAAGATATTAAAATCAAATTAAAAGTTAGGATACTAAAATCATGTTTTTACTGTCTTTATTATTCCCTATTAGTTGTTAGGTACTTTATTTCCTTAATAATACTGTAATTTTTAGCTATGGAAGAGCGAAGTCACCTGTTACAGGCATTGTTTTGCTTACTAGGTGACCTCGATCACTGATCATATAATGTAACTTTAATGTTTGACGAAATAAATTATTTACCATTATTATTATTAAGTTCGCCATATGTACTACTTTGTGCATGAAAGTGTGATAAATATATTCTATAATTATATATTAACCCTTTTTTAAAAAGGTTTTGTTTAATAAAAAAATTACAACAGTTTCATAGACAGGTTTCGAATATTTTCCAGGCCTTAGTTAATTATACCTATGCCTATGTGTGTTAATGTTTATATAGTTTACTTATCTGTATACCGTTAGTGTATAATAAAAAAATATTAAAAATTTATATTAAAAATATTAAATATTAAAAATAGTGAAAATTAAATAAAAAATAGTGGTATGCTGTGAATAAATAAACCGCAACAGCCGTTAGCGCTTCAATAATCATTTTAATAAATTCGTCCGCACATTGGCCTGTACCAAAGCAATCTGAACGACCTTCCAACGTGTGGACGCAATCACTGGCGATCACAAATTCTTGGCCAATATCTCTGGCAACACATTCGCCACTATGTTGCTTCCTTATATATTACTATACTTGTTGCTATGTTGGCCAACGTGAAGAGCCGCCATTACGCTAGCGCCATTCTGGAAGGTTTTTCACCACAGATAACTGTATACTAGTTTTTCACCTGTTATTTACTGCTTACAAATGGACACTATTTCATCTTGTCCCCCATATGAGATAGTCCTTCTTACTTCTATCCTCCATATTTTTGCTGCAAAAAAAGATATTAATCACTACGGCTTCTGACTGAAAATTCTTCCTACACTGCTATATATTTCAAAACACAATGTCTCACATCTCACAACATAAAAATTGAATACCATTATACCTATACAATCATTGTGCGTTATCAATGCGATAACGCCTTGCAAACATTGTTTTTATCAAGATTATATTCGCAACTATAAAAACGAATTGTTTTATTAATTTCGCTTTAAGTTTCCCGCCCCGCGCATCGGTCAGCTGACATTGTGTGTATTCAAGAAATCAGCTGTTTGATTAATTAAGTAGAAAATAGAAACATATACTTGTCTTTTTCACACAAGTTGTCTTTTGTATTTTAGCACATGACCAATGAAAACATCGTCATCGTGGTAGAAAAGGCCACTTATTTTTGAGATACTTAAATTCCAAAATGAAAACAACCAATAGTATCGAAGTATCGATTCAAACAGCCAATGGGATTCGAAAAACCAACCTGAACTTCGTATGAATTATTGCCATCCGTTCTCATCTCACTTCATAATTCTTAAAGAATTGAGCAAAATGAAGCGAGTTTTATATTATCTCGCCAAAATGGCGGACGCGTCGTTTTCTGTGCGCGCAATGAAAATACCCGATAATCTGTATGAGTTGTGCCTAACAAATTTAGTGAACTATTTGCAGAAATTAAAGTGCGAGCGAAATGATTTGCGATCGCTGCCTGACAGTATCCTCATGGATATTTATTACAAGGTGAGTTTGGATTTATTAGTTCTCTATCTTTCTTATCTACAAAAACAGTAGGTAGGTAGCTTACGAAATGTACCGTTACATGTTGGTCAAATTTAATCTTATGATATGATTGTTATCAGAAGCAATCGATTAATATCGTTTTTAGATATCATATATGATATTAGTAGTGCTGGTTCATGGTCACGCGGTTATGTAGGTTTGATGCAGATCACTTTCACTGTTTTAAAACCCACTTGGCTAGCACTTATGGTCGATAGTCCATTCTTTGTTACGAAACTTTTCTGTAACATAGTGTAATAGGTTTTACTCTGAATAAAATATTTTCACGAAATATATTAACATAGTCAAAATATGTTTTTTGTTGTATAATACAATGTAAAGTTTCTGTTGTAGATGTTTTGCCTATGGTCATTAAACAGAATAATTATATGACTACGGTATGGAAACCAATGTGAAAAACTTCGTTCAATCAATTATTTTAACCATTATTTTTTATTGTTAATATTATATAAGGCTTATAATAGTACATAAATCCTCTCATGCAAACAAAGTATCACCTGAAAAAACAATACACTACGAAATAATGATAATATCAATGCTGCTACGTACCGAATTGTAATAATATTTTGAGAAAGGAAAGTTACGTTTCTACTTCTTTGTGAATTTTCCTTTTAAATAAGAAGAGTTTCTGTAGATATATTACATTATACAGATCGATGTTATTTGGTAGGTATAGGACAACGAAATGTGAGAAAAGAAAGAATACCTCATATTTCTAATTTTTTTTGATCTTCAATTTAAAAAAAAACTAATAATTACATAAATCTTAAATAGATTTACATAAATCTATTTAAGAACTTATTTATGTAAAATGTTAATGGGTATCCAGCAATAAATAAAATAAATCGATTTTAGGAGTGATCTTTCTTTTAGAATAATAACACCTATTATTCTAAGATCTTTCTCTTGAAAATTTTAAGCAAGCCGACATGCATTTCTTGAAGTAGTTGCCAATCGGCGAAGTGAAATAAATTGGTAAACACGCAGAATCATCACCATCACCATTAAAACCATTGGCCTCCCCTCATAAACCACCTGCATCCATCGTCTTTCCTGCTTAAAGTGACGACCTGACTATCTGGTGAGGCCGTGCTACACTGCGCTTGTCATCCATTTAGTTGGGTGTCGCCTAATATTGTGCTTTCTAGTACTAGGTTGCTACTCAAGAACCTTTATTTGGTTGTCGGTTCTTCGAGCTATAAGACCGACCCATTGCCACTTTAGTTTTTTTTTATAGGATAAGTGTGACAAACGAGCACACAGTCCACCTCATGGTAAGTGGTTGCTGCGGCCCATAGACATCTACATCTATCCTCGTTTGCGAATCAAAATGCAGATGCGTTGTCACCCGTGAGGACTAAGATGGAATGCCTCATTTCCAGTAAAAAGGGCCTCCGGCCACCTGCACTCACCAAGCGAAACGCAGAGGTAAACCTCTACTTCACGTTCACGCTGGTATTCTGTGAGGTCGTGGTACCAACCCGGTTCGAGCCAGCCCATTCGTGCGACAGCAAAAGCTGCCGCGTGGCTCTACCACTGTTAAAAGTAGTTAGTACTCTGGCTCTACTGCGGATATTGTTTATTATGAATTTATCACGCAGAGAAACTCCGAACCTCTCCATTGCTCGCTTAGCGACTTTAAGCTTCCTCATTTGGTCAGCAGCATTATTAGAAGTGTACCACGTGGCCACGTGCCAGTTAGGAAGGAATTTATAGAAACGTTAATTTCCTCCTTATACTGCTTCCCCGCTCTATGTTCTGTCATTGCTGCCTATTGCAAAAGTCATTTGTCTCATTGGTATAGAGCAGTTTTTAAGAGGTTAAAATTTTATTAAACCATCATTTGGAAGCCACAAGGCAGTTTTAACAATGGAATAAAACTATTTTTACGGATTTTAATTTTTGTGAATGAAAAAAGTTTAGTTTTCTGTGTTCGCGAAAATACAAGAAATCATTATGTAATGCAGTGTAATAATTTTAGAGTTCATAATGATTACCTATAACATTTTTTAACGATAATTTAAAATTAAAAGTTTTGTACAACCGACTTCAATATAAATTATTAACAATAACTCAAAAACTATTGGTCAGACTTTGATCAAATTTATATGACATGTGAAGCACCAGCTTTCAAATAAAAAAAAAATCGTTGAAATTGGTTCACCCAGAAAAAAATTTATGAAAAACATACAGTCGAATTGAGTACCTCCTCCTGTTTGAAGTCGGTAGAAAAGTAAAAACAGACTTCAAATTGCTAAAAAAGAAGTTACTTATTTGCTACCCATAGGGGTTAATTTTTTCCTCCAAATTTACATGGGACCACCCTAGAAGTATGACCTATGTAATAAAGAAAGAATCATCAAAATTAGTTTACAATCAGCAAAGATGTCGCGTAACATACATACAAAAAACCATACACTTGAATTGATAACCTCCACCTTTTTCAAGTCTGTAAAAAACTATCAATCGTGAGCTGTGTTGACGCTAGTGAGAATACTAGGTCATTCATTAATTTGTTTTTCATTCATTACATCGTATCAAATGTCCACTATCGAAAATAGGTATCCCGCTTAGATTGCCTCATAGGAGAGAGGAATTTTCCATAGTTTTCATGCTTGCCAAGTAGGGTTGGCAAACGCAATAAAAACTATACCAGCGTAAAATAACAGCTTAACACTGCTGTGTTTTGTATGGTGAGTGTAGAGAACCGGAGAACCTTTTATTTTTTATATTCTACTAAGCCAGCGCTTATCTACGATCCCACCTGATGGTAAGTGGTGACTTAACAAAAGCCTATTCACTCTTGCCTTGAAGACACCCACACTGTAATCGGATGGAAAGACAGATGCTGGCAACTTATTCCACTCCTTTGCTGTATGCATGATGAACGACGTGGCGAACCGTTTGGTTTGTACTAGAAAAGAGGTATTGCATCTTAGTCTTCACGGGTGACGACGCGTCTGCAGTTTGATTCTTTATTGAGGATAGATGTAGATGTCTATGGGTCACAGCAACCACTTACCATCAGGTGGGCTGTGTGCTCGTTTGTCACCCTATCCTATGAAAAAGAACTGCGTATTTTAATCTACTTCAAAACGAAGGAGGTACTCAATTCAACTGTATTTTTTATGTGTGTTATTATCTCATAACTTTTTTCTAGTTCAACCGATTTTGATGATTCTTATTTTATTTGAAAGCTGGTGCTTCTCATGTGGTCCAAGTCTGACCAGTAGTTTGAGTTATCCTTAATAATTTATATTGAAGTCGGTTGAACAAAATACAACTACACGGCAGAGGAAATAATATAATGTCGAAGTCATGAAGTTATTGTATTTTCATTGGTTCCTAATACATCTACCTACAAAAATGCGGGTTGTTTAGAAAACGTGGTGTTGTGAAAGCTCTAGTAGTGTATAAAATTCCATTACATTCATACACAAGCAACAGTAGTCTAAAGTGTACCTTGATAGTACTGCAAACTCAGAAAGGCGTGGGTTTGAATCATTCGACTACTGTGGTGACCTACTCTTAACATAAGCATGTTAAAGCTTAATTAGAGTGATAAACAGAAAAAAAAAACAATAAAAAGACATTACATTACATTCATACATATTTTGAACCTGACCGCCCAGTTGCGGTGTAAGAATATCCACTACCCCATATCATCCCGTGGGAATCGTAAGTAGCGACAGAGGGAAACAAATCAGGAGAAGAACAGTAGCGTCTTCCTAGCAACGACTAAAAATATAAAACTGCAGTTGCCAATCCGCTTACCAAGCATGGCAACTATGGCAATCTATGTGGGAGGCCTATGTTCAGCAGCGGACTTTAATAGGTTGTAACGGTACTGGTGAAGCTAATAAAAACGAGATAAAATGAGGCGTTTTTAATTCAATATGAAACATAAAATGAGCAATGCATCTGTGTTGCATTTGAAGCAGCTGGTGGCTGCTCTATAGATGTTAATTCTTGTCTCTTGATGCAATGCAAGATATATAGTGACGACGTTATTTGCATTTCATATTTACGCAACAATATGTTCATTTTGTTTATTATTAAATAAATAAAATACCAATTTTATTCATGCATTCCTTTTTACCTACATAGCGACGTAAAGTAGCAGCTGAATGCTGTTGTGTTTCGTATGGTGAATGTAGAGAACCGGAGACCCTTTATACTGGAAACGAGGCATTACATCATAGTCCTCATTTTAATTTTTCAGTATAAATGTAGATGTCTGTTTATAGGCCACAGCATCCACTTCCCATCAGATAGATTGCCTGCTCGTTTGTCACCTATTTTATTTTAAAAAAAACTAATTGATATTTTATTTAAAAAAAAAACTATCAAAAGTCCACCTGACACTCCACCCCTATAAATTAAAATCCAAACATTAAGCTAAACAAAATAAAAATCGATGACAAAGAAATAATATCTATAAATCAATAGACTTTTAGTTAATATTATAGTGACATACTGTATAAGGAAAATTTAGAACACGCCAGGTTTTGTTTGTGTAACAAACAAAACCTTAGCTGAAATATTTAGCTTCTACTTGTACATAACAATATATTTGTTGTTTTTGTTCTAGTTTCTGTTAAGAAAATAAGAGGCTCTTTTTAATTATTTTTGGGATACTTCCATTGTTTTAGCATCTGGTTGAGATGCATTTAACCTTATAAAAATATAAACATTTTATACTATAAACAGCAATCGAAAGAAATAAAGTAGGTTTACCTTTAATTAAGTTGAGGTTTTCTTTTTACAAACAAAACAGTCACGTTATTACATTGTTTATTGCTTATTTGCTCCGCCATTGCATTGGCTCTTCCGTTGTAGGGATTTCAGATTTGAGGATTTGTGGATACCTTATTCAAACTTACACTCACTTCTGAGAGGATTTTAGGACAAGGAAATGTCCGCAGCGCTGCCCCAATGCG